CCCCCACTGCTGCCACAACCAACCAGTATTTTCTGTTGCCTCCAGATGAGCAAACAGGTTGAGAGGAGGCCACTTCCCTGCTGGTTTGACTCTCTTTGTCCCACAGGTGCAGGAAGTGCAGCAAAACTAAATACGTGTCTGTGGTTAGTGAGGGTGTTGTCCAGAAGGAGAGTGGGTAATAAGGGTCTGTGGCAACCAGAGCTTTCCTAAATATCATTTAATCTGTGAAAGATTACCATGGTCCCAAAAGACTGGAGGAAGAAATGGAAGGACTGCTGGACATGAATTATGTCCCATGTGGTGGTATGTTTTTACCTATATAGTTTTGTGTGTGTGTAGATGTTCCTCTCCTGGTGTAACAGGGAGGACCTGTCTATCTTTTGAGTCAGCTGTGAGGGTTAGCAGGAGCTCTGTGGTTATCTGCACCTTGCAATGCTGTGCTTTTATTTCCCTTGGAAGAGCTGGCAGCTGTTGGGATGTTTATTAGGACTTGGAGGGCACTAAGAAAATATAAACAACAGGAACCAAAATGACACTGAAGTTACAGGCACAGCCTTGCCATAAAGTGTAGAAGCAGATACAAGAGGAGGTATAGGAGGTGTAACAAGAGTGGTTTTTAAGGAAAGATTGCAAGAAGTATAAGTTTTTAGTCTTAAGAAAAGACTGAGTGAAGATATGATAGCACTTGTATGTGTTAATTAAAGATGGATGCGGAGGTGTAATAATGTATCTGGAGGTAACTCATTCTCCAGCTCCATGGGCTTGAATCAAGCAAAGGAACTGCAGTTTAGATGTGGGAAAACCTTTCTAGGTTGGAGAAACACTTTAGGGAATTGTCTGAGAAGGTTAGGAAAACACTTTGGTGGTGGACATTCTGTGAACTTGTGTTAAGAATGGTTTAGGTGTATCTAATCTATGGCAGGAAGATGGGTTAAATGATCTCTTGAATCACTCCATTTTCTGTCTCTACAAGAACAAACTTGTGAGGCAGTGCTGATGTATTTAGCAAATTCTCTTGCTAGCTCCCTTTGTTCTTTCTAACAATCAAAAAAAAAAAAAAGCAAAATGTGTATTGTTTTTCAAACATCTCTTCCAAACATGGCCTTTCTTCTCCTTCAGAGTCAGGGGAAAATAATTCCTACATCAAAATCTTACCTCATGAAATGGTTGTTTCTGTTGGCAGCTTTTCTTTCCAGTGATTCACTGATTCCCTTCAAGAAAAGACAGCTAGATAGAACTGCAGGGATAATCAAACCAGTGGATGTAGGAGCAGAGGAAGAGCTAAAATGTCACAGTGTGGAAGTGAGAAGTAAAATCTGCAGGATGATCTGCATGGTCTCTGCACCTAAAGGCCGTGGTGAGGAGGGAGGTTAAAGGCAAACCAGTTCAGTTTCTGTGCCGGGGGTGAGATCAGAAGTTGCAGTTCAGTCACAGGCTCTTCATCAGCAGAAACAAAAAGCCACCCACCTGCTCTGTCCCCCATTAGTTTCTGCTCTCCTTCATCATGATTTTACAGCACCTTTCCTTTGAGTGTTGCTCTCCTTGAACCTTTCATTGCTGCATCCTCTGCAAGGGAAAGCAATATTCTGAACATAATCCTTATTCCATGACAAGATAGCAAAAAAAATTAAAAAACCTGAGTGAGGACCTTTTCTTCTATTTCACAGTGGACACGTGTCAGCGTTTAACCCCATTTGGAAGCTAAGTACCATGTAGCTGCTTAAAAATAATAATAAAAAAATATTCAACTAGATTACCATGTTTCTACCCTCTCTGTTCCGTGGCCTAACATCAGGAAATACTTTGTATGGTCTAGGCTTTTCCTTTTACCATGTCACCAGTTCTCCTGCCCATCTCTTCCAGCTCTAAGATCTCAGAGACATCCTCGTGGTACTACACAAAATATGACTGCTTTAGCCAGACAGCAGCATGTAGAAAAACCCTCAGAATAGTCAACAAATGAACAGTTAGTTACATCCTAAAAATGCTCATATTCAGTGTAATGATCACAGAAAGAGCAGTTCTAAAATTGGAGCGTTTCCCTGCTGTCACAAATGTGGATAGCTGTGTATATGCATTTATTTACACAGATTCTCCTGGCCACTGGTGTGCAGGTCTCTTGTGTTCTAGTCCCTCCCTCTGATTTTCCAGCTGACATAAAACACAAGCATCCCATGATTTGGATTAAAATGCCAATTTCATTGTTGCCAGGTCTGTTGGACATAATTGAAATAAATCTTTTCCTCCTAGATTTTTACCTCCAGTACTGATTAAGAAATTCCCAGTAAGGCTGGATGTACTCAATTACTAACAAGATTGTGCCTTCCAAAAAATGTGCATCTGATTTCCAATCTGAGTTAGTCTTCCATAACTGATGTGCTTTTCTTCCTCGTTCTCACTGCCTGCTCAAATTCCATGCTACTAAGAGAGATATTTTACAGACATCTACTGTACTATAACTATCTTTAATCTGCTTTAATCAACAACCCTGAGAGAAACAAAGTTAACTTTACCATAAGCCCAGAGTGATACATATTAACTATATTGCTCTTCTTAATTATTTATTGATTGGATTCTGTATTAACAATTCCATTAAATTTCTCTAGATCCACATCACGCTTGTAATTAACCTGAATTATCTCATTTGCTTCTAAAAAGGTTCTTAGTTTTCTTCAAGTCCTTTGAAAGCTGCCATTGTTTCCCAGCTAACTGAAAAAATGATTTATATATTCCCCATCCAGCTCTGCTGAAATAACTGGATACAAATTACACGGATTTGCAACTATCAAATTAGGAACCATAGTATCAACTCATTAATGTCATCCTAAATTATTCTTGATATGGAAATATTTATTAGTCTCAGCTGTACCAAACATCTTTGTCTTCCCAGATACACAACAGGAGTGCTTATTGATCTCTTTTTAATGAACTGCTACAAAAGCCAAGATTTTCCTTAGTAATGAATCACTACCAGAATTCCTGCAGCTTTGGTTTACTCAGGAAAATATCATACCCTTTTAGCCCTATCAATATTGGCAATAGTGTGTTCTCTGTAGCTGATTTTCTTGGCCAAACTCCTGCATTCTCCACCTCTGGCTTATATTCAGTATTATTCTTTTTTTAATGCAATTCCAACTTTAAGTCTGCTCAGGGTTTTAATTAACACAATATTCCTTCCCAAGAAAAGGTGGCAGCTCTTTCAAACAGTATTAATGAGGAATATTTTTAACTAGTATTCATAGTTTATTGCACTATGAGTTTCTCCTCACAGTGTTATGGTTTCTAACTGTTTTTCCCTTGAAAACTTATTTTAAAGTTACAATACAGTGGTTTGGCCTGCACATAACAGTGCAAACTGCTGTGCTTTCTTGTACAAAAGTTTTTTGAGGTCTGTGATCTGTTGTTTTTCATATGCTAAGATGACTTTTTAGTGGATCTGCTTGTGCCACACACAGCATTTTGTGGGAGAAATCTTTGGCCTCTCAACACTTTGCACAGCTCTGTCTCCCCTCCATTATCCGTGTTGCTCAGGATTTAGTTACTCCTCATGTGTTAATTTTCACCCCCTCCCCTTCTGTTACATCAGGTGCAATTGTCTTGGTGTTTTAATCTGATTCAGTAGTAAACTATTAGTAAACTACATATTTATATAATCCAGCACTTTTTTCATAAACAGTTGGCAAAATGTGTCTCTCGAGCTGTCAGAAACAGTGGAATGTTTTGCATAAATTGCCATTTTCCTTCTTCTTTTTTTTTCTTTTTTTTAAAAAAAAACCAAAAACAAACCCAAAACAAAACAAAACCACCAAAAAACACAACACCTTAGAACAATGTTAACAACCCAAGAATTAGACTCACCACACCACCTTGCAGTAACACCACCTAGGCCATCTGGTGTGTAGCTCAAACTCCCAGTGTCCAAACCAATAAATTCCCTCTTTATTTTATATTTTATTTTTATTAATAATCACCTATTTATAAATAAAACAAATGGGTGATTAATAATATAATTAAAATAAATAGGTGATTAATAATATAAATAAAATATTTTATTTTAGATCTGTAGCCTGAGCTCCCAGTGTTCTTGTCCAAACCAATAAATTACCTCTTCGCTGTATGTTATACTATTAATTTTATTTCTATTATGAATCCCTATTTATTTATAAATTACCTATTTATTAATGCCGGTGTGAGGTCAGGATGAAGAGTGAGTCTGTATGAGCAGTGACAACATCTTCTCGTGTTGGTGGCAACACTTTGGGGCAGAGTCTCTGTAGGAGCTGTTCAATGTGCAGCAGGTGATGCTGAATTCACGTGGAACAAGATGTGTTTGGCCTCACCCAGTTGTGAGGATCCTTTTTTAGGATTATTAGGATTTTTGCCAGCCAGACCACACCGCTTCTCACCCTGCTCTCTAGGAAAACAAGAAATAACAATGGCATGAAATGCTGTGATTCTAATGAAAAGACTTTTTTTTTTTTTTTTTAATTTTCTTTTTGAAGTGTTTCCAACCATCTCAGTTGCTTGACCCACTTTCTGAGCGACTGCACCCTCTAATGGGGTAAAACAGATTGGCTTTCAAAGCAGCCAATTTATTTTTGTATTGTTTATGTGTTTCTAGTCCTTAGAGGCTTCAGACAACAGCCCATTCTTGTGACAGGGAAACAAGCACACTTTGGCTGAGTGTAGATTACAGGGGAGGTGTGAACATCCAATAAAGGCTTTGTGTGATTCATCTCCACTCTGGCTTAATGGAAAGTATGTAAACAGCTGTTTGTATTCGTGGTGAAAGGAGAAAAGAATTTTAATGAAATCACGGAAAGGAGAATTTATTTCACTTCTAAGTCCAGAAAAATTATATGGTTTGTTTGTTGTTTGGTTTTTTTTTACTGTGCAAAGCCATCTCATTTTACCAAAGCTTTGTGGGGAAGTAAAAGTTTGAACCATGAAAGTGAGATGAAACAGATACTTCACCATGATTTTTGCATCCTGTCAAACAGGTAATTCTCTAATGGACCAATGAAAGCCAACGATGACAAGTTGTGGTCGACAGTCCCTGAATGTGCTGATGGTTCTGCTCTCGTTACTCTTGTCAGCAGGTAACTTTGATACTTTGTCTTCTACTGATCTCTGTCCCAGGGAGAAAACAGTTGCAAATTAATATGGACTTCCTGCAAAACAGGGTCAGATGGATTGCTAATTGAATAATAAATAAACCACGGAATGGATTTGTGCAGAAATGTGTCAGCTTTTAGTTTGAGAATGAGTCAAGTGCTCTGATTACTTGTTGCATTTGTTCTTCAGGAGTTATTTATGAATTACTTAAAAAAAAATAATTTTAAAGGTTCTTAGTCCAAATAGATTTGATCCTACAGGTTTTTAACTTGCGTTTCAATGTCTTTTATCCTCCATTCTTGAAGCAGATTTTAATCTGAAGGGATTTTTTTTCTATCACTGCTCTTTTTCCCTTTTACCACATCCCATCCCTGACCACCATACTTACAACTTCACCAGGCATCATGTGCATTAAAGTATCCTTGTGTTCCAGTGAAAATTGTTACTGCTATGTCTCTGTAAGGACTTTAATATTCAGCATTGCATCTTTCCCAGTTAGTTCAAGCGTTTTGTTGCCCATTGCTTGTTTGCAGTGTTGAAGTTGATTCTTGCTAATGATAGTTTATTATTTAGCTATAAATGGCACAGTCCTTTTGCTAACAATGTTAGAATATTATCAACCAGACCCCTTCTCATCTGAAAACATTGTTTTCCTTCAGTCCTTCCAGTGATCATCTCTTTGTATGGCACTGCATCCCTAGTTATGTATCTGCCCTCCCTCCTCCTCTGGACTGGAATTGGACACAGGGGTTGTAGCAGCTTCTTTGTTGTTTTCTAGGTTAAAATAATTTCAAAAATCTCTTTCTGTGCTGCATGAGTGAAGTCAATTATAAAGAACACTTCAATGAAGTGATCAACCATCACAAAACTCCTCCAAAGCTGCTCCAGTCTCCTTGGTTGATTTTTCAGTTTTCATACCTTTGCCACTCTTTATAGGGGACTTCTAATAGAGACATCCTGAGATCCCACTTCTCCAACCTTTTTCCTCAAGGTGATATAAATATTTACCTGTGTTATAGTCACCTGTGTTGCAGCTAAATGGGACACTGTAATAACACCATGTGTGCAAATAGATATATTCAACCCCTGGTACAATAAACCTTTATTCCCTCAAACCCAAACATAAAGCCAGTGTTCTTATATATATATATATATAATTTTTTCCCCCTCAGAAGAAAACTATTGCCTCTGAAATACAATATGTTTATTTGAAACTAATTACATATAGCTTTCCTGACATAATTCATCTATTCACATTGATCGCTATTGGGTTTCTAAATGTGCATCTTATCTTCCTGTTGCTCCTTGGCTGTAGGTATTTTATTATCTGACATCCTCCAAACTCTGCTCCTTGGGGAATTTTGCTACTGACATCTGTAGGAAAGGGTTGAGGTCATTGCTAACTCACATACATTTTACAGGAGGAGATTTATTGTCATTTTGCAGCCAGCCAATGGAATTTTTTGGTTTATTTTTTGTTTCCCAAGACAGATCAGCTTCCATAAAAGAAAACTGCTGGCTTTGTGCAGTGAGAATGGCAGGGGTTAAAAAAAGGTTGCTACTCTCACTGGAGCCTCATGAACGTCATTTTCAACCTGAGCTGAAGTGCAAATCGAATGGCAAGGCTCCATTTGAGTTCCCCAGATTTACAGACTGTAAATTCAAGTCTTTGGCATCCCAAGATTCACACTGAAATCCGTAGCAAAGGCTGAAAACCCCGCTTAACAATTAGAAGCATAACTTCCACTGACTTCCACAAGTGGAACAGAAGTAAGGGCACAAGTGATAGAAAAGCCCCCAGAACAATGCTGATGCTTACTCATTTAATGCACTGAAATACATTTATAAAATCAGGGATGGCAGCAAGGTTTACATTAACAATCCCAAAATTGACAGATCATTTGCACATTGCAGTATTTTTAATTTGCAGTAGGAAATGAACGTCCACACAGCGAATTAACACGTGGTAAAATGCACACACAGGAATATTTCTGTGGATCCACACGGAAAGCTTGGAAAGACCAGCCCTTCTCAAAGTCTCAGGGCTTTAAAAATTTAGTAGCTAAATTTAAAATGTGATCAGTGTTGCCCAGATCTCTAACTGTGAACAGGTAGGGAAGGAGCAGTTTGTTGTATGCTGGCTTGTGTGACTTCAAGGCAGAGTAGATAAATCTTAAGATGAGTTGAAATCTTTGAAGCATGACAGAGTATCCTCTGGAAATCAGTAGGAACAGAGATGGGAGCATTTTTATCAGTTACTTGTTCAATAACAGGATGAGAATCTGCACAGGAGAGCTCCAGAAACAGCTGCTGTCTTTGCAAAAGACAACTTAAGAGCCTTCCAGGTCCAATGCTTTTAGCTGAAGTATTTCCATAGAAAAAAGGTTCTTCAATCCTCAGGATTTAAACAAAGTTATTTTCAGGAAAAAAACTTAAAAAAAAAAATCACACATTGTTTATTGGCTTTCTGATTCACAGAGAAGCAGAGACAGCAGGTGAACTTACAGAGATATTTACAATAAGTTGATAAAGTTCTTTCACTGTGCACCAGGTACTTGTTGATGTTGCTATGGGGTTTTTTCTTACTCATTTGTTCAATGACCCATGAATATTCTCACTTTCTGATTCCCTCACTGGTAGAGGGGGAGTGACAAGCAGCTGCCTACCAGGGTTAATCCACCACACACTGACTCCCAAGTTCAGAATGTAATTTAATCATCACATTATGCTCTTATTTGTGCATTTATTTTAATCACTGACACACATTTTACTATTTAAGGATGTGCTTAGGACTACATCTTATTACAGACACCCCTCCTCCTATGACCTGACGTTATCTTAATTCTCCCTTCAGTCTGTAATCATACTTCCCTCAGTTTTTATTCCCAAAGAAGTTTGTTTTCCTTTTTAAATGGGCAAAGGAACCATTTAAGGATCAGGGAACACTTCCACACATGCTGTTAGAAAAACACAGAGCAAGCTAAACTTCTGTGACAGGACCAGAGGCCAAATTCTGTACTGGTGACAGTGTCCTCACATCTGGAACACAACGTTTTTCCCAGGCAGGGCAAAATATGTAATTACCTTTCTCAGCATCTATGTTCCTTTAGAAATAGCACTTTCAGTTCCTGACTGAATTAATCTACAAAAGGGTCTCTTCTTTTGTTGAATGATGCCAGGTATGTACACACACACACATATATATAAATATTAAATGCTTAAAGGGGATGCTTTTTGACTCAGAGGGCAGTACAAGTTACCTTGCTTCAGTTTTGTTTTTTGTTCTAGGCTCCTCCCTATACGCAGAAATAAAGTTATCTGCACTGTCACAACCCTTAAAATGTATCTTGAATTTAATATATTTTATAAATTTGAGAAACAAAAGCATTAGGAATAGGCTTTTTTTAAAGCAAGATAGGAAGAAGTGAGGGTTAGGCAGGTAAGATGCAATTACAGATCAACAGGGAGTGTGGGATACAGCACAGCTAAGTTAAATCCATGCAGGTCATTATCTGTAACCTCTTGTGCTGGAAAACTAATGGAAAAATCATACACCAAATTACAAGGGCTTAATTCTTTCAGTCTGAAGTGAATATCCTTTGCTAACTGGTGAGACCTTATGAACTGCACTGCCCACAGCATGGCTGTGACTCTCTTCTCTGGTCAGGGGAAAAACATTTCACTGCTGAGAGTGTTCAGGCTCTTGACTTCTACATTTCCTCAGAGTTTAAGCCCTTTGGGGTGTCTGTATGGTAAATGTGCTATAAATGATGATATAAGGCCTAGTAACACAAATTATGAATGAATTAAAATGTTGGCATAATGTGGAACCCAATATTGTCTCTTCAAAGACTTTTCAGATCAACCAGGAGGTCTCATGTGGTTGCTTATGACCATTTTGGAAAGGAAATCCCTGTAGAGTTCCCCCCCCTAGTAAAAGTGATGGTGAAATCAGTGTGACAAACTGCTGTAAAAAAAAAAGTGTTCTCAGAGCTGTAATAAACTCTTTAGGTGAGAACTTATTAAAAGAGAAGTGTAAGAACTCCCAGGAATACCTGTACAGTTATTATTATTAGTTCTTCACAGGTATTTTACAGGTATTACAGTATTTTAAAGGTATTATTATTAGTTCTGTCTATTTGCAAATTCAGAGTTGTTCAGATTTGTTATGCTGGTTTTAATTACTGTTTCTGACAGAATAATCCTTATCAAAGAATGACCTTTACAACAGAGAAGATGTTTTCTGTCAGGAACGGTGACCGTAAACCAAGTGCCAGCAAACTTTTATTGCAGTTTCTATGCAGACCTTTTGTTTTTATTAAGTCATCCCAGGAGAATCAGACATGGGCATCATTGTGTGTTATGGATATCCCTATATTTAGAACAGCAATAGGAAAATGCTTCCCAAAATATTTTTGTGGCTCTAAGCACAGAGGGCACTTCTCCTCTTCCCTTAAACAATGCTAATCAGAAACAGCAAGATTCAAAATACAACAAGAGCCTAAACATTGTGGTCTTTAAGTACTAAATGTTGTGATGCTGAAAGTTCTGAGATATTAATGTTTTTCAGAAATCAGACCCCGACTGTTTAAACCTGAAAAGCTGTTATTGAGGACACCCAGAGGACACAAGTGACTCACAAAGCCGATGTTGTTCTTGGTTTTTACAGTGTTGTCTGCACATTTTCGGGTCTGCGAGCCGTACACCGACTACAAAGGTCGCTACCACTTCGGGTTTCACTGCCCCCGTCTCTCTGACAATAAATCCTACATCTTTTGCTGTCACCATAACAACACAGTGTTTAAATACTGCTGCAATGAGACAGAATTCCAAACTGTCATGCAGATGAACTTAACGGGGAGTGCAGATGGATACATGCATAAGTAAGTACATGAGTTTTACAGTTCTCCTCACCAAACTGGTCCTGATCTAATAACGTGGTCTCAGGTGTATTTAATAATGGGAGCAATTAGAATAATTGCATTTACAGAAAAACATTGCTGAAAAGTTTTTGCTTCCTTAAAAGACAGGATATTTCAGCTTTGCTTGCCCTGCTTTGACGTGGGCTGTAAACACTGCGAGCAGAGCATACATGTAAAAGTTGCATATAAATGTAACAGATATAAAGTTACATCTAAAAGTTACCAAAGCCTCTTCCCTGACCCTAATTTGGTCTGAACTATGTTTAAATGTGCATCAGTAAAAATAAACCCCAAAGCTGTTCATAGGGGAGAGAGAGGGAGTGAGTTGACATTTTCCCTATCAGCCCAAGTGCACTATTTTGAATCTGTGATGTTTTGAATATAAATCCCTTGTAACAAATCGCTGGCCTTGGGGAACAGAATGCATTTGCTCATATACCAGCATTGTGCGGTCTCCTTGCCTGTTACCTGGGATACTTCCATGTGCTGCTGGGGGCTGTCCTCCAAGATAAATGTCAGCACTCTTTTTTCTTTTAAGAACCGGTAAGTAGAAAAAGCAGATCTTTGGTACTGATTAGGTAATTGCAGGGACAAAACCTTCATTTGTGGTGGTCTGTTCCCTGTTTGGTGTTTGATATTCAGGCCACACTGATTTGCTGTGATTTCTTTGGGTGCCGAGGGCAGCTGTGATGTGGTGTAAACCCCCAAGTCAAATTCTGATTTATCTGCTTTCCCCCTGCCATTTTATTCTGGTGTTCAGGTCCTCCAGGGCAAGGAAGGGGCAGATCAAAGACAACTGGAATCCCAGGCTGGGGATTTTTGTTTACATCAGGGATTTTGGTGTTTTTCCTCTGCGGTGCAAAAGTCAGTCTGTGCGTTGACATTCCTTCCTATGGAAGCAGGTGCAGGGCTCCCGGGAGACTGTGGTGTTGGAATACCGATGCCTGTTGTAACTCCCTGAGTGCAGTGCAGCCCAGCTTGGAGTCAGCAAACCATTATCTTCCTTAAAAACCACATAGTGGCAGACAGAGCCAGAATGTGCTGTGTGCTCAGAGTGATGAAAAGAGCCACAGTCATCTCAGAGCTCGGGGTGTCACCGCCCAAACGCAGCTCAGACAAGTGCGAAGTCAGCACTTCAGGCTTTTCCCAATATCCCAGCAGATACTCATGGGCAGAGCTTACTAAGGGAAGGCTCTTCTGCTCTTCCTTCCTTCAACCTGAAGTGTGGAGGGCATGGTGTATTATATTAGTTTTCATTTAGATTAAAAAAAAACCACTACAAACCACAAAAAAACCCAAACTCATCTTACTCAGTTGTGATGGAGAAAGGTACCTCTCTATTTTTTCGGGCGTAAGATTCATGGTTGAGAAGCACCTGCAGTATATTTACCCTAAATGTCTTCAAAGTTTCCTTGGGACTTTTAGCTCTGTGTGATCTTTCACAAAGGTAGGTGAAATCACATTAAACACAATAAAAAGAATAAAAAGCTTCTGGAGATGCAGCTTAGACAAGTGCAAGAGTGAAACCAGAGTTGCCCTTTTGTAAATCCCTGAGACATCATTTCTGATAGACCTGTCAGGACCAGGAAAACGAAGAGCTGCTTCTTCCTACGTAAAACTCCACCACTATAGTGAGACTGAGCTCACTGATACGGGTGGAAAACTTCCTGGTAATTTTAGGAGGAGGAGAAAGGAGTGAATCCTACAGGCCTACATTTTAAAACACTGCAAAAAGCTTCTTACTTAATACACTCTGACTTGATTTAACATGTACAATGATTAAACTTTATTTGGATTCTAATACATCCAGGGTTCAGTTGACAAAGCTAACTCTTGCTTAGATCTAATTTCACACACCACTGAAAAAAATCCTGATGAAACCTCCTGTACTGTAGCAGGGGAGAATAATTTGGGATATGGGAATAGCAATGAACTGAAGAAAAAAAAAAAGGGATTATAGTTTTCAGGGAAGAGTGATTCAGTATTATTGCTTCGTTTATTTCAATATTATTATCTGGTTTATTTTTCCCCTTAGCCATTCTCGTGATCGTCAAAACAAATTTCTTGTTTCATAATACAGTTAAGGGAAGAAATCAGTGAAGTGACTTGTCATGGCACAGCTGAAAAGATGTGTTTGTCTTCTACAGTCACACAATACAACTAAAGCCACATTTATTTACAGTTTTCCATTACTATAACAAAAGATTTCTATGTTTTCTAAGTCTTTGCCATCATGCAGATTAATCAGTTTATAATATTTTTAATGTGAACAATTCTCTCAGTATTAAATATAGAAATACAAATGGTGTCTAACAGACAAGAAAAGTTCTGTGAGGCCTTAAAACCGTCTGAGAAGTTGCTTAACTGTTCTTAAAAATACATTCACTTGAATCTGGTTTTCATAGTCTCTCAGATTTTCTGTCATGCATGTTTTGGTGGATTATCAGTAGTGCTACTGTTCTAGGGGTCCTTAATCTGATACTGGAACTGTGTTATGGAAGTATGTAATGTATCCATGGTTTTTCTTTATCTGTTAGTCCAGAAAAAAACCACATTTAAAGTGTACATGCAGAAACCCACACTCGTTTCCTCAGTGCTAGAGGTACCAAGGTGTTTGCTAAGAAAGATATAAACTTGCATTTCTTTGGGGCAACACTCACTGTTACTACTGGGAGCAACAGCCCCATTTAAGGAGAACAGGGAAAGAAACATTTTCCATGACCATCTGCCCACATTTAAACTCTGCAGCTGCAGAATTCAGCTCACACTCGTTTTGATTTGTTGGTTTGGTTTTCAAACCTGAATTCCCACATGAATTATTCTCTGCTAATGTGCTGCACATAAAACCCAACAAAATCTACTAAAAAGACAGAGCCTGGTCATAACCAGCTCGTCATCTGCCTCAAAAAGTGAATTATTGGATGGGAGGAATCATACAGATAAAAATAATATTAAAAGGATGTGTCTTTTTATTTGTCTGTAGGGATGTTAGAGAAATCCAAGCAGGATTCTGTAGATGCTATAGGAGGAGAAGGATGGCAAAAGTATTTCTTGTTCTCAGAGAGCCCAGTTCAAGGCTCCCTGAAGTCAGAGCAAATCTTTCCATTTACACAAGTGGGCTCTGTATCGAGGTTATTCCATATATATTCTATGTATCAGCCTATTTCTGGAAAAGATGATTTAAAATAATGAGCTCCTAAGCTTTTCTGATAGGTCCATGAACTACCCTGTTTTTTCTCTTCTGTGTTTCTGGTCTTACTGTTCTTTTAAATAAGATTGTTCATTTTCTAATTAAGACATCATCTGCAGGACAGTTTCAATTTTTACTATAATTACTAGCCATTCAACAAAATTAACATTTTCTCCATCTTAATGGTTTGAGAAACAGAAAACACCAAGGAATGGAATTTCCCTCTGTGTACTTAAACCTACTACTTACTATTTTTGCCTGTGATTTTTCACAAGGCCCTTTTGATAGTGCTGTTGTCCCACTGTCTGTTATTTAAAATAAAGCAGCCTTTCGTTTTTGGGCTTGTGAGAAACAGATGTTATTTAGGAGGAGCAGATGAATATGATTAATGAACTGTTGCTTTAGCTCTAATTTTCACTAATCAAAATTTTGATGGGTGAAATTAAATATCTAAAACACACCCAAAAAATCATTTTGAGTTAACTGTAAGAAATGCTCCTGCCTCTTGAATTGCTGCCAAAAACAAAACAAAACAAAACAAAAGTTTTCTGGTATTTCCATTCTTACTATGGATCAAATGCAGTAGAGGCAAAGACTCTGGAGTTAAGGGTTTTCAGAAGCTTTATATTTTGTCTCCTTCCAATCCTCCAGGATATTTACTGCCTTTTTTTTTTTTAATTCTTAAATTTTAATGCTTAAATTTTAATTCTTTAATTTTTTTTTAATTTTTTTTTTTTAAATTCTAGTCTTGTGTAGTCCTAAAGTTACACAGGAAGGGACCCATTAACAGCTTGGACCCTCCTGTTGTTACTTACATTCCATTTGCTATGGAACCTTCTTTAATTTAAAGGTGTCACATCTGTGGAGTGGAAAAATCATTCCCTGGAGGAAGAATCAACCTCCTTAAACACTGAGACAGAAACTAGAATTCTGATTTCTTACCTTGATTTCTAGTTTCAAATCCTGATTTATTTTTTTTTTTCCTAAAGCATACACTGGGAGTCATTGAAATGGAAGGGGAAGTTTAAAGCAGAGACTTGAAATGTTTTAAACCAAAAGGCTGGGGACATGTTGGTTTTTTTTAAAAGTCAAAATATCTTTCTGGCTTGCACCTATAATATTCTCAGCCTTTTTATTTCTTGCAGCACTTCTGTTTTGATCGATGTTCTGATAAAATGCAGTTCCCTCAAAGTTCCTCTGAGTTTCTGTGAAAGGGGCCGTGGTTGAGTGTGTGTTCAGCTTTATTCTTGTGAGTTCAGGTCCCTGGAGATTGTGGGTTGCCCACCTGTTACTTTGATATAGTTTTTCTCTAAGACTGTCTTCCTAATGGCATTTTTTGCTAATGTCCCTTCAGCTTCCTCTTGTTTTTACAGTCTCTGGTACAGGTACTTACTTCCACATTAGCTCATGGGTCTAAATTAGCTTTTTTTGGTTTATACTTTGTGGTTTTTTGCTTTTAATCAATCTCATTCTTACCCAGATTTCTCCTCCTCTGTTCTGACCTCATCCTCCCCACACACAGTTTCCAATCCAAACTGCATTTACACCTGACAGTCATTTTTCTTTTAATAATACTTCATCTCCAACAGAGCTTTAGCAATTCTTCCCCTTTTTGATCTCCAACTTCTTGACCCCTTATACCCTTTCCTCCTGTTTCCCCCCACCTTTCTCTTAATATCTTTAATCACCTGTCATAGCTTTACAGCTCCATGTCAGCAGCTGATCATTTTCATGGCCTTTATCTAAAAATACACTTTATAACTACAGCAATATATATATTTCAGTGTAGTGCAATCTTCCTATGAAAGGAGTTGTGTAATAGGATGTTGTCAATGTTCTTCATATCTGAATTTATTACCAGGAAACTGAGGGGTCTCTAGCAGCCCCACTTGAAATCCTATGCTTCTACAATTATCTTCTTCATCCAGTAGTAATTATTATTCTATCCAAAGCAAATTCAAGCACATTAAACATCTGGTAAGAGAAATGGTTTGTGATGCAGGTCAGCAGTGAATGTTTCCAAATCATGGGCACTCTTGGGTCTCAATTATTAATTCCAGCCTATTTTCCTAGGGGTCAGCCCTCACTCTCAGAAGTGCCCTGTTATTTTCCGTTGGGTGGCTCTCTGGGAGTGAGAATTTGGAGAAATTGGGAGTGAGAATTTGCAGAATAAGACGTACAACCCATCAACCAAATACATGTCAGTGCTCTCGCTTTTAAAGCATTGTACACCAAATTTGTGTGCTGATAGAGGTACACAGAGGAGAAGGAGAAATAAAATTTTTTTGGTAAGATATGGGGGGGCCTTGATATTTAAAAATCTCCCATGTCAATGCATATAGCAGTATTCAGATGGAAATAATAACTAATTTTTAAAGGCTCGTGCTTTAGAACAAAATTTTGTTTCATCATCAATATATTTTATATATGATATAATTTTATATTTTATGTTCTATGCATCATCTATACTTATTTATGATATATTACCATAATAATATATAACATATATAGTAATATATAATAGTATATATTTTATTATATATATTAATAGATACTATTTAATATAATAATATCTATATGTTTACTTATTTATATCAATGTATAATAATATGTATAGTTATGTATTACATTACATAATTTCATGTGATATATAATTAAGGAAAAAACCTTGATAAAATAACACAGTGACTGAGAGATAATTTGTTTTCCCTTTTTTCTTTCCCAGCAACTACAGCTATAATATCAATATATTAATATATATTAATATATAATAATATGTATGGACATAATCTCTAATATACAGTATTAGAGATTAGTAATAATAAATATTATATTATGGATACTAATTAATATTTTAACATTCATATTTATGTATTTATAGATTATATAGCTTATATAATATAGAATTTATATTAGTTATATTCTATCATGTAATTAATTTACTATATAATATATATTAAACAACCTTGATAAAATAACAGTGACTGAGAGATAACTTCTTGTGTTGTCCCTTTTTTCTTTCCCAGCAACTACAGCTATAATATTACTATAATAGTATATATTAATATATAATATATGTAATCATCCATAGTATATTATAACCTATAGTGTATTAATAATCTATAGTATATTCATATATACTATGTAATATATTACTATGAATACATACAATAGAACTGTAGAATAATATAGTATATTTATATATAATTTAATATATTCTATTATGGAATTAATTTTATATATTATAAAATTAATGAAACAAACAATGCCTCAATAAAACCCCTCAGTGACCATTCCAGAGAGAGAACTCCCTTTGTTGTCCCGTTTTCTTTTTTCTCTCCCAGCAACTACAGCGCCCTGTTGGGAGTGTGGATCTATGGCTTTTTTGTGGTGATCCTGCTCATCCTGGACCTTTTATATTACTCCTCAATGAACTATGACATTTGCAAGTTTTACCTGGCACGGTGGGGGATCCAGGGGAAGTGGATGACCCAGGGACAGAGCCGATGGATTAACCCTGCTCAGGACCCAAGGCAGGCTCAGGCACAGCCTCAGCCAGAGACTCAGCCCCAGCCTCAGACATCACAGACAGTACACACTCTAAAAGGAGATGCTTTAAGCCCACCCCTGATGTCTTTTCAGAGTTCATCTGCCTGGTGAGTAACTTCAGACAACTGATACATATTCTCTTGGCTCTGCTGTTTTGTCATGTGAATAATCACCTGGTTTTGGAAGGGTCTGCAAATTCAGGCTGAACAGCGCCATTTCTAGCACATAGCTCTTGATATCATGAACTGGCTTATGGAATTACTGCTTAGGAGCAATGTCTTACTCTGGAATATGTTAAGACATCTCTTGATGCTTTTCTCAGAGAAATAGATGCTGCCACCTCTCAGTAATTAACAGTTCTACTACCATTGTGCAAAGCTTTGTTCTACATCAACCATTATAAAATTAGTTTTAATCTAGTCTCAAAGACTGCTGTGTGTATCTGTTGGTCTGGTTATAAAAGACTGTGTGTATCTATTGGTCTGGTTTTAAAAGACTGTATAAATAGCAGCACTGAAAGAGCTTCAATGTGAGATGTCACAAATCCTCTTTATTTATGGCATGAGAGACGGAAACAACGTAAAAACCAGGTTAGTCTTTTTTATATGCCCAGCCAAAAAAGCGTAGCTTGGGCTCATTTGACAGAGTGACACAAGTAGGCTACTGTAAAGTTAAATTCTACAAAGCCAGAACAAAATCTCGAAAAAAAAACCCAGATCAAATGGGAGACAGATACTATGGGAGCAAGCAGAACTTGGAAGTATAAATAGAAGAAATTAAATGCAGGTAGCCATGGTACAAAGTGATATTGAATTATTTTGGACTGGGTTTTTTTTACCAAAGAAAACAAAAGGAGAGCAAAAGAGCTGAATAAAACATTTCTCTGAATAAGGTGTCAAGAAAGGCAGGGACTTTTTCTTGGCAAGAAAGCAGAAAGATCTGGAAGAATGCAGAGGGAGTACAGAGTCAGCAGTGCATTTTAGAAGTGTTCCAGAAGGCTGATTGCTGAGTTTTGGCAAAATAAAATTATCTAAGAATGAAGAGGGTGAAAAAAGATGATTCCTGAATCTGTAGAACATGTAAAGCCACAGCACTGATCTCGGGCTGAAATCTTTGGGTATCCCTGTGTGGCAGGTGGGATGATGACAGCAACAGTCCTTTTATTTCATAATTCGCCCCTTTAATTTTAAGTCTAGAGCAAACAGAGTTGAAGGTTTGTTGCAATTAGTGATGATAGTTTGACAAAGATCAGTGAAAGAGGAGGTTTCTTGGCATCACAGCCAGTACTGGATGTATCCAGGTCAGGCTTTAAGGACTGTTCCAGCAGGCCTTGTCCAAACAGAAGAATCTAAGGCTGCTACTTAAGAGAAAGGATTACTTGTGCTTCATTGTAAGCACTATTCTTTTCACTCCTTTTTTCCTCTTCTTTCCTTTTGTCTTCTTCTAATTCTTCCAGCTTTTTTTTTACAAGTTGATTTCTGAGTCTTCAGTTAAAATTCCCGTGTATGTTAAAAACTTTTGTAGCACAGTAATTGTATTTTAGCTTAATACTTGTGTACATATACAAAAATGACTACATATATACATAAAAAGCTATTATTCTGGTTATACCACTTAGTAATTCTGCCACACATTATAAATTGTAGCTATCCAATAATTCTTGAAGGATTCCTGGTCACATTCTATTGCTGATTTCCCTTGTTCTGTTTCTCTGCTTTTCTTGAAGCGTTAAGAGGGCAATGTATGTTAGGATCAGGTGAGCACATCCCACATGCTCCTTTTCCTGTGTTTGGAGTCCTGTGTGATTGATAAGTCACTCCAATAACCCCCACCTCTTTCCTAGTGAACTCTTTGTCTTTGCTCCCCTCAGTTCCCATAAAATTGTTCCTTTTTTTTTTTCCCCTAATCCTTTCATTGCTCAATGGAAGAAATAAGTAGATGTTTCTCTGGCAAAACCCTATTAATCCCTTTTATTTCAGCATGTAAAACACTATAAAAGGTGCCATATTTTCAAACTGATAACCTGCAACTTTTGAAACTCAAGTAAGTGCAGAGATGATTCAGTGTGAGTTGGATACATAAAAAATAGCAGGAGGCACTGGTGATCACAGGCAAGATGTTTAGCATGCAAAGGAGGTTTTTGAGTAAACAGCTCCCTCAGAAAACGACAGATTTGTGTACTACAGCAATTGCTACCACAGTGGGGAGTGGGTTGCCTGGCTATTTATTCCTCTGTTAGATAATCTGCAGGTTATATACGTGAAAATATGGTAATTTTGCCCTACAGAAATGAAGCTCAGAGTCTGGTTTTCTCAGTCCATGTTTGATGAGCAACCTCAGTACTGTCTGCTCAAAATCTAATTGTACTATCAGTGAAGAAGTGCAATGGGCTTACTGGATTTATTTTCCATCACTGGATTTAAAATTACAGAGTCTAGTAATTCTTTTCCTTTTTTAATTTTACACCTGAATTTCCGTTTCTCTAGATCGTGACACCTGCTCTGGTACCAGCAGGTTTCCAGGCTAAAATAAGCCACTTTGCAGTCTGTGTTGCTGTTTTTAACGTATCCCAAGTTAGAAAAAAATAAACATTTTCCTTTAGCACTTCACAAAACACGCCATGCGTATACAGGGGGTGGTACAAGAACAGTTCCTGTTTACAGATGAGTATTTTGAAAATAGAAAATTAATCCCGGGGGATGTGAATATATCCCAGGGCGTAAAAACTTAAATACTGTTTAAAACGTCTTCCCGAAGCAGTTTGCAGGTTTTCATGACGACAGATGTTGTGGAAGTTGTTAACTTCCTGCGCCACATTTATCCAAGTACAGTCAAAAATATACCCATTCTAGAAGACACATTGCATGAGAATTCTTGCACATCAAGAATCTCAACCGCACTGAAGGCTTTGAGTATCCTTAGAGAACTGACAGAGTAAGAAACTGCCCCAAGAAAGATGTCAGGATTAAACTACAGCTTGTAAAGCGGCTTGGGATCTTCCTGGATAGAAAAAAAAAATAAAAATTATGTAGGTAAGTAAGTGGCTTTTAGTTTATCATTTCTTCTCTTGTCCTGGTTTAAATGCCATGAATCAGCAGTGAAACCAGTGACAGAAACAGGTATGTCAGAGAGGAAAAATCAAGCAAGTGATAGTATATAGTGGGTAGAACCAGCCCCAGGATGTTTAAATGTTTTGTCATAGCAGACCACTTCATTATTTACTTGAGACAAAGAGGACCATGTATAGGCATAATATTATTGTAACTGAAGAAGTCTGGAATCTGTTATACACCCTGCTGGCTGCTCTGCAGCGCTGGGCAAGGAGAGGAAGGAAAACCATTTGTCTCAGAGAACATCCAACCCCCTTTGGAATAACGTTACTTCACCCTGTAGCACGTGGATTTTGCAGCCCAACTAATGTCATTTCTTCTTCAGTATGAAAACCATCTGAGGGCTCCCCAGAGGCCTGTGTGGTCAGAGGGTCCTGGTGAGTGAATCTGAACAGCCCAAACACCATCACAGACTGCGAGTGAAGGAGCTCACACGGAGGTGCCTTCCCTTGGGGGTGGGGCACGAGCTGGCCAAGCAAATGGTTTCCACTGCTCAGATCAAAATTCTGACCACTACAACAACCCAATCCTACAACCCTGGGAATATTATTAATTAATAAATTAATTGTTCATCAAGGTTGACTAAAAATAAAGGTCAGACCTGCAAGGAGGAGAAAGTGTGGGCAGAGTTTCCCCAGGTTCTCCGTGGCCGTGCCGTGTTCCAGATCTGAGAGAGAACAAGATCACTCTGCCTTGCTCTGTGATGTTAAACTCCTCCCAACCTCCTTCAAGGATGCAAATCCCAGGGAATACTGTCTTGAAGTCCAACATTTGCCTCTCTGCTCCCCACCTTTCTGCACAGCAGCACGCAGAGGCAATGCCTGTGATCATAAGGGTTATGCTACAGGACTCAAGGTTTTGGAAACCTGCTGGTTGTCCAGAATCGGGAAAAGTATCAGCCCAGCAGGGTTAGCCAGAGATTATTTCCTTTATACAGTTGGAATGGCTTGGAAAAAGGCAAGTCTATTTTACTTTCCTTCATTAGTCAACTTTTACTGTGAATTCCTGCGAGTCACATTGTCTTCTGGACAACAAAGAGAATGGTTTTTAGCCTGCAGCTGTTGACCTGCTGCTTGACAGCTCTTCCAAAGGACTTCTATACAAAGAGAGAAAAAAAGCCTACAAAAATATTGGCAGGGCTTAGGAGCCAGCAGGTAACTGAGCATGTGCACAGCAAGTGTACAAAAACCACTTAAATACTTTGCTGGTGGCTAGAAAGTCTATGGGAAAGAATTTGCTTTGATACCAAATTTTTAAACAGGAAATAATAACTTCCATACCTTCTAAGAGCTGCTCATGCAGTGAGAACATGGCCACAGTCCTCCAAAAACATGAGCCACTGGGGTGACAGGAGAGTTTTGTGCAGAGGCTGCTCTTGGTTCAAGTTATTTACAGTAAAAAAAGGTAAGAAATATCTCAAATTTACATTTGCAAAGCTGCTACGTTAAACAGGAATAAGGTGGCACTGTTTTAAAGGTGCAAGATTTGCATCACAGGGCAAAGCATGGTTTTTACTTACAGCACTTACCTGGATTTTTATATTAGACTAAATATGGCAAACCAGAACACCAGTAGTAGTTTGGGGGTTTTTTAAAAGTTGAAAATAAATAAAATTGAATACTTTCATAGTACTTTTAGGAATGAACTGTCTGGGAATTAACATCATGTGGAGGATATGTCTGGTAACAGAGATAAGGTGTGTCAGGAAATATCCACCATTACCTGTGTGCCTCCATTCCCTTCAGAATACACTGGGTTGAAATAACAGCTATTGTTGAATATATTTTCTTCTAAATATTCTCATCTCTTTGCTAGGAACTGCATACCTGTAAAACCAGAAATTATTATCAGTGTTCAGCACAAATCCAAAACACAGCCCCACACCAGCCCCTGTGAAGAAAATTACACCAACTAAAACCAGCACATCAGGGCAGGAAACCAACAGCACTAATTGGCTGTGGGCCAACTAACCAATTGACTAATTGACTGGAACCAAC